CAGGAAGGCCACAGGCCCTGACCACATCAGCCCAAGGGTCCTCAGGGAGTGTGCAGACCAGCTCAGTGAGGTGGTCCTGTACATATTTAACCTGAGTCTTAGCCTGGAGAGAGTCCCAGCCCTATGGAAGACACCCTGTGTTGTCCCGGTTCTCCAAATACCTCATCCTAAGGAGCCGAACATTACAGACCCATTGCCCTGACCTCCCACCTGATGAAGACCATGGAGAGGATTGTTCTCAGCCACCTCCATGCCCAGGTGAGCTCAGCGCTGGACCCGCTGCAGTTTGCATATCGACGTGGCATCAGGGTAATGATGCCATTATCTACATGCTGCATCAAGCCCTATCTCATCTGGAGTCCCCCAGAAGCATGGTGAGGGTTATATTCTTTGACTTCTCCAGTGCTTTCAACACAATCCGGCCGTCACTGCTGAGGGGGAAGTTGGAGGGGGCAGGTGTGGACCAACACCTGTCTGCATGGACCATTAACTACCTCACACAAACAGACCTCAGTTGTCAGGCTGCGTGACTGTGTCGGACGTGGTGGTCTGCAGCACGGGGGCACCCCAGGGGATGGTGCTTTCCCCCTTTCTGTTCACCCTCTACATGTCGGACTTCAAGTACAACTCCCCCCACTGTCACCTACAAAAGTTCTCCGATGACACTGCCATTGTTGGATGTGTATCGGGGGGATGAGCGGGAATATAGGGGGGTTGTTGCTGTTGTACCTGGTACTTTTTACCATACTGACTCTGAGAGACAGACAGTCCAAGTAACTTCAAAACAGTGCTGATTTATTCAAAGGATCACAGGTAAAATTAACATTACACGCTCAGGTATCTTGCACCTCCAAACTGCACGCAGGCAGATGAAAAATGAAAAAGCCCTGAACCCACCAGGCCTATACATTATATCTCCTCGGTTGGGCTAGCCCCATACTACACAGAAACGTCAACCGAGACATCTCTGTTACCAGCTTTGCAGCTGGTCATAGCAGTAGTCAAAACACGAAGCAAATCAATGTGTGTGTGTCTGTTGATTAAGTGGTGTGTAGCTAAAAACATTCTCACGACCTCTAGTAACATGTCGTGACTTAAACATAAGAACATATTATGGCTAAGGCTACAGTTATACACGTCATAATAATAATATTAAACACCCTGTCTGCTGACAGTCATAAACTTTTCTCTCTAGTTATCCTTGACCAGATGTACCCTGTAGAAACTCATAAGCATGACTAAGCATTTAACAGTCTAACTAGACATCCTATCTCCACTAAACATTTATAATACATAAAGTATCTATCTAATTTCTATCTGACTAAAAATACCTAACATTACGGACTTTGTGAAATGGTGTGAGAAAAATCGACTGGTCCTGAACACCAGTAAGACTAAAAAGATGGTGATTGACCCCCGGCGGAAATCACCAGCACTCACTCCGGTGAGCTTTCAGGGCTCAGTCATTGAGATTATGGACACCTTTAAATACCTGGGGGTCCACCTCAACAACAAAATGGATTGGACTGAAAACACTGATGCCCTGTACAGGAAGGGCCAGAGCCGCCTCCACTTGTTGAGGAGACTGAGGTCCTTTGGTGTGCAGGGGGCACTCCTTCAGACATTTTATGACACTGCAGTGGCATCTGTTGTTTTTTACGCTGCTGTGGGCTGGGCGGGAGGTAGCACCCACAGGGACAGAAAGAGACTAAACAAGCTGGTCAAGAGAGCTGGGTCTGTCCTCCATCGAGGAGGTGGCAGACAGACGGATGCTGGTAGAACTAACATCCATCATGCACGACCCCTCCCATCCCCTGCACCACACAGTAAGGCTCTGAAGAGTTCCTTTAGCGCAAGACTGTTACATCCCCAGTGTAAGAAGGAGCGTTACCCTAGGTCGTTCCTCCCCACAGCAATCAGACTGTACAATACATCACTGCAGGGATAAGCTAGGTGAAAGTATGAGGGACTATGCAATAGTCAACTGCAATACTCAAATCCTGGGGTAAAATGCATGGTTAATATGCACATATGTAAATTCTGTTCTTGATTATTCAAATACTTGATTCTGTCTATTTTTGAGTACTTGGAATTTATTTATTTATGAGGATGTGTGCGGTGCTTGTTCTCATGGTGTTATGGTGTCTGTTCTCTATTGCTGATTGAGGTACTGAAATTTGTTCATCAAGATATGTGTGTGGTGTTTGTTTCTCATGGTATGTTGTTCTCCATTGCTGCTGAAATTTCCCCATTGAGGGATCAATAAAGTACCTACCTACCTACCAAGGAAAAAAACCCATCTTAGCTGCCTTTACACATTCTTTTCATAATGCACAGGCAAGTTAAAGTTCTAAACAGTTAAAGACCCACAACCTCAAAGCCAAAGTTATACAATTTTGACAGGACAAATGCAAAGCAATGCAAAACCCAAGCATATTTTTTTCCCTTACACCATCAGTTGAGGAAAAATTGTGAGACATACAAGAAGCGGGGACAGAAGACTTAGCCTGAACAGCTATGACACAAAAAGGGCATTTTGTTGTCAAGAAGCTAAGAAAGAACCTGGAGCTCATATTCACCACTGGGTGGCAGACATAGTTTGGACACAACTGAATGTCCTTGTTCTCCACCCCTTTGCACTAATGTAAACTGTCTTTAAAGAAGACTCATAACCACTGATGGAATCTACAGGACAGATTTCCATAGATCTTAGAAATGGGTGAGCAAAATAACTTAATATGACATTCTGAGGCACACTGGGTTATAAAAAGGTTTTTGGGTACAGTAGGTAAATGTGTACCTGAAAATCAAAGCCTCTCATTTCATTAATTTGTGGTTAGGAGTCATGAGACCGGCTGTAGAAACCTACCTGCACATGCTAGACTTCCTGGACATAGTGGTGCTGGGAGATGAAGGTGGGGTTTGATATGACCAACCAAAATCTGAGCCCTTCAGGTCCAAGATCACCTGAAAGGCAGAAAAATATTAGTCATACTTAGTCATAGGTGTGTTTTGGTTGCTAACAGATGGTTTCATCTTTGTTGTTTTTCCTGACCTGTTCACTAGCGGGGGGGAGCTTGTGCGGGTCAGAGGTCAGGGCTCTGAGGTCATCTGAGATGGCCTGGAGATGGGTGACCTCTCCCAACATAGAAATCTCCTCATCCTACAAGAACAAAGGACATAAAGAACAGAGATATTTACAGAGATCATTTTTGGGTGGTACAATGTTCTCATAAAAGAGTTTACACAACAGTGAAAACAGTCATTCAGGTGGCAGGTGTAATGTAATAAGGCTTATTAATGATTGTCTTTAGAAAAAATAAACATTAGTATTTTGACAGATAAGAGTATGAGAAGGCTTTCCAATCTGAGGGACAAAGACAAAAAGAGACACTACAGAGAGAGGTGGCTTCACAGCAGACTGTTGTTTTCCATGGGTGCCTCCTGAAAACCCATTTCTGTCATTGTGTCCTGTTGTACTCACCACTACAGGCTGCAGCATGGCTACAAACCAGCAGAATCTCTGTCTCTCCTCTATAAGAGCCTTCCTCAGGGCCTGTTTCTCTGTCTCTTCTAGCAGAATGTATTTATCGCTGACATCCTGCATGGCACTGTCCAGCTGGGGCTGGATATCACCTCGACCTTGGAAACAAAACACACACACACACACACACAAAGAAAATATACATCATTACAAAAAAATACCAACTCATAAGGAAACACAGCTGGTCTAAAAATCAAGTTACTGGGAAACCCAAAAGACAATATTCTGCTTCACAACATCAATACTAAAAAGCACAGATTTATGGTACTGACAAATGTTTTAATGGTCATAAACAAGATCATGTAACAACAAAAAACATTTGGTGGCATTTGATGTTTTTAATTTTCATCACTTCTCTCTGGTGTTGGTTGACTGTCACCGTTTCTCCACATTATCTTTTCACTGTGGACACTGCTAGTATTTGAATGTCTCAACCACTCTGCATGAATGGCCACTCTTGACACAGTCTCTTGTTCAGAGTTGGCAAGGTTATCTCCTTTAGGCTAATGTGTTGCTTATCTTGGAAGACTTCATTTATTACAGCGAGATACACAAAAGTGTGAACTTTGTTTGACTGTCACTCCACTGCTCTTTGTTGAACACAAGGTGTTTCCAAACAGAGTTAAGAGAGACTGTGTGTGTGTGTGTGTGCGCTTTCATGAATGACAAGAGTGCGAGGTATCTACAAAACCATCTGGTCCTTGTGCTGTCTATACGTGTATTTGAATAGGTGTATGTAAAACCCAAAATGTTTGAAGGCAATGACAATCCCAAGGTTGTCCTGCTGATCAGCATTACGTGCCATGGTGCTTCAAGTGCATTGGTATATGTGTCTATATGTATTTCTGTGATGCCTTTGTGCTTCAAGTGCATAGGTATATGTGTCTATATGTATTTCTGTGTGTGTGTGTGTGTGTGTGTGTGTGTGTGAGAGTGTGTGAGTGTGTGTGAGAGAGAGAGAGAGAGATGCCCTCTTGAGTTCTTTATGGTGACAGGAAGGCTGGCAACTGCCCAGGACAATATACAGAGAGCACCAAAGGCATTACCTAACCACTCCAACTACACTTAAACACAAACATACACATACACAGTCTTGATTTTGGTACATCAAGGTTAAACCCACACACTAAACAAGGCTGTGGTCTTTCTGTCTGCTCTTATGTCTGGGCAAAGATAAGAAAACTGTTTTTTGTTAAAACATGTGACGCAAGGTCCTATGGTCCTGTATCATGCAAATCAGTAGTAAAGCAATGAATGGAGTTACACAGACACATTATCTTCACATCAAATGCAAAACATATGAGTGTAATATGTCTTCTCTTGACGACAAACCAATAACAGAAGCCAGGCTAAAAAGTCGAGTTTCAGAATCTATTTTTAGATCGAAAGGCAACTTTTTATACTGATATACAATTACATTTTACAAGGCTTTGTGGAGAGCTGGCTGTGTGACTGAACCTGAATGGACTAGACAGGTCTCGTTCATTAGTTCGGGCTCCCACTGCAGAATTATTATTCATTTCCTTCCAGGCAAAACAAGTCTTTTTTCACAGAAAATATCTGTAGCCTAGGCTGAGGTGCCAAATAATGTTGTTATCGCTAGTTACAATTAGATGATCAATCATTATGGAAACATAAGGCAAACAAGAATGTATCAAGCACATCTATAAAGGTTTTAACTGTATAAAAAATATATACAACACAAGAAATGCAAACGATGACAAGATGCTCAATACCTTGCAATGACAATGACTTACATTCAGTAAAAGTAGGTTTAGTTGTAATGCAACTGAAATATTTTTTCACATCAAAGGCATGTTTTCTTTGACTATTTTAATGTTCTTAATCTTTTTAAACTATGCTTTAGCTGGCCTCAATGCAGAAAAGCAGCTTTTCAAGTTCCAAAGCTGGCAATGCTGTGGTGTCCCCTTGGCATGCAGTAAAATGAGGGGAGAGTACTGCTTTCTGGTTTTCTCCCATACTTCAGACTGCATTACCAACATAACCAAAGTGACTTTGGAAAGACACTACTGCATGTTCAGGTACTGTGTCCAGAACAGATGGAAAGCTAAATATTTCCTGTGCTGTTCTGTTAGTGCTCATGAGTAGCTTATCATAATCAGTGTCGCAAGCTAAGCTGTCAAGAAGCACCTTATACTTTCACTCATTTATTTAGGTAAAAAAAAGTTGGTCTTCTCCACAAATGGCAGAAAACTCCCCCATCACTAAGGCTTTTTTTTTGTAATTCGATGTTTATTAAACCTTGACTATATGAAGTCAAAAAACATTAAAAACACCTTCCTTAAGGCTAAGTGAAATTTGAGTTGTGCCCATTAAAAATCATCAGATCACAAATTCTAAAGATACATACACTGATGATACACAAAAGGCTTATGTGGAAACTGACCAAATTGGGTTAAACATCATATACTACTGTCAACCTCACCGCAGACTGACTGAAAAATATTTTTAATATTCAAACAATTCAAAGCAATTAGACTGAAACAGATATATGTGTTGTCATAAAAATTATAGTATAATTACAGGGGTGGAGACAGTTGCATACACGCACACACAGGAACAAGTATGCACTGAGACAATGCAAGCGCATTCTAGCACGAGATGTCAACTTGTGGTAGGGAGGTTATTAGAGCGTAGCTTAAGTGTCTGTTATGTTACGACTGCGTCCCGGCTGTGGGCCGTTCCTTGGTTTGTCCACATTCCTGGTCTGTGGGCCGTAACTTGTGCGTCTGTGCCTGTGTTACCTACGTGAATGACAAGGCCCTCGTTGCTTCTTCCTCCTTCTCTTCAACCGCAAACAAACAGAAGGTCAGTGGTCACAGACTACTGTGAACAAAGCCACCCTAACAAATTTAACAACCTATTTCAGTGCTCAGTGTGCTTGTGACTCATTCTGTAAATAGTTTTTTAAATTCACACTTAGTATATTTTTTTCTTACTGTTTGACACTGTAGATGCCCTGTCTGTGTATGTCTGTCAACTGTTAGATTCAGAAAGATTTCATAGGTTAATGTCACTAGTGAGCTAGTGAGAAGTAGTTCTAATATACGTGTGTGCGAGACACAAGGAGCCTTTACTGCACAGATATATAATATAATTGTAAACAAAACGCTATACAGCAGATGCTCAGTAGATGGATAGTTAAAACTTTGCTGTACTGGCAAATTAATCATTATCTCAAAGTTTCATGTTAAAAACCTAATATCAGGCCTCAAGTTTCAGACTTCATAATGATATAATGTAAGAAGTTAAAGTTTGGTGTATTGGCAACAGTTTTTTTTTTAATCGATTTTGGCAATACTGTAGGTGGGACAGTGTGTGTGTATGCAAAGAAAAAAGAAATGTGCCAGCATGGACCATACTTAAGGGGAAAGAAGACAATTTGTAAAAATAAATGTAACAGTATCAAACTGAACCAGTAAAACAGAGGGAGGCGACCACTGGATCACTTAGGACCCAAGTGTCTCTAGTCTCATGAAGTCTCCACTTCACCTCCACACCACTCCATATTGTTAACATCACTGTGATACTGATTCAGTGAAGGAATTCTCTTATCAGTTTCAGTCCTCAAGTGGATCAGAGCCCAGGTTCAGTTACAGTCCTGAACCTCTGTTCTTGTTCAATTTCCTTTTCAATAATGCTTCATTGTTTCAGGTGCTTACCAACATGGAGCCTCTAACCTATAGACGGTGAATGAGAGGAGCCAGAAGGCAACAAAAGAAAGGAGGGGTCTTCATTCAGTGAAGACTAACTGAAGACCAAAGGTTCAGACTATTTTAATGTGATAATATGTCATAGCAGCCATAATGTAAACTGTCAAAAACAGTTGCCATAGCTGTAAAAAAAAAAAAAAATAAATAAAAGAGCATGCCAATATTTAGAATGCAGTTATTGTTTGCATAAAATATATACTGTATTTGATGGCTTCTGCACAATGCAACTAAGATATGTGGGGATCAGCATTGAAGTGTAAGCAGCAACCTTGACAGTGTGTCTAGTCCACAAACTGACTTACCCAGAGTATCAGCTGCAGTGCAGCATAAGGCGGAGGATGGTATCACAACCACATGGGGACAAGGAGAAGAAAAAGATTCAAGTCAACTGACAGAGTGCCAGCACTAAACACCAATGCATCACATAAAGGTGTAGCTTTGTGTGTCTGGTTGCCTTTTTAAGTACTGTAATACTTGAAGAAAATATAAAAGCAAAACAATTTGCCATTATGTTTGTTAAACGGCATACCAATTTTCCACTAAGAATCAAACAATAGTAAGAGAGAAATGAATGCTTGTATGCCTTAGTAGAGCTCAGTACAACAACAGACTATAAGCTTTATAGAAACGCTGTTGTTCAAGTAGTGAAACCTTTAGGAAAGTCAAAGACCGTCATCCTTTGATTCTGCTGATACTTTGGCAGCTGCACTAATTGGCAGTTTTATTAACAGTCACATTACCAGTTGTACAGCAAGTGCCAAATATCAGCAGGTTTTATTTTTCAAAGCTGACATTATCTGATACCAGCAGTATGCTGATGTGCTGCTTTATCTATACTAACAAAAAGACTGAACATCTGAACACAGCATTAAGGCTGGTGCCGTCTTTCTCACTGGTACACTGATCAATGTGTAAGTGAATTCAAATACATCAAGACAAACCCTTTTGCTGGATATTTCATAAATGAAAACAAGGAGAGAAACATAACAATCCTAGTGCTGACAAATTGTATGCTCTGTCTTGTGCTTAGCCAACAGTGTTCAATGATAAAGTCATGCAGATAGTTGTGCGACAAGTCTTGGAGAAGTACTAGTAATAATCACAATGTACAGTATAAGTTAAATCTACTGTATAACAGGAGTAAGAACAACAATAGATGTTTTTGTTTTGCTTAGGTTTCTTGTACCTTTTTCCTGAACAACTTTTGAGTTTAGAAATGGGAGACATTCACTGATTCAAAAACTATCCCAAAATATGCTGGCAACATGTTCATCTAATTCAGTTTTTTATGCATGGTATTTTTTCTCTAGGTAGGTGAGTGCATATGTAGAACCTGAGCCAAGCGATCTGCAAAGGGAAACAGCCCCTGTACTCTCACTGAGTGCTACCAAGTAAGGCAATGTTTAGCCTTACTAGATCTGCACATGTCTAATCAGTACAGAAACATCTTCTATATACAACACACATACATCACTGCTGTCTAAGAAAAGTGTCAAATACACAATTGGAACAGTTTCCCTCTCCCCTATTTGAAATAAAAGATGAGCTTTTTTTTGTCATGTTGTTTCTAAAATCCTTTTGAGGACATGTTTTATGATCTCACTGGTCAGATTTTTTTAATTCAGTCCTGCATTGACCTCTTGCAAATAGAAGTCTTTAAACCCATATAGCCTAAATGAAACAAACCTAAACCCAAACACAAACCAGGATCAAATTCAAGTTCACTGTAAAAATTATTATAGCATTGAAATAATACACAATAATAATGTCACTACTTGATACAGCAAGAAGACCAGAGATTTCTAATCTTAGCTGTGCTGGCATCTAAAAATGATTATTGCAAAATACTCAATGAAAACCACACCTTTGTTATGTCTGGCTAGTTGTGGGCAGAAAAACATTATCTAAAAAAAAAGCAGTGACTACCTTTTGAGAAGCCAAAGATTTCCTAACTTCGCTTGAAATACATGTGAACTGCTAACTTTTTTAGTGTGAGGGGTTCAAAAGAATCAAGTTTCATATTTCCTGATTAAGCTGTGAACAACAAAAACACTTAACTTCTTTGTTTCCCAAGAACTGAATCTGAACTAATCCTCTAACAGAAACTCGAGATGGATATTTTTCACTGGTTTGGCAGGCAATGCTCCAAGTTGTTAAACTTATGATCCCTTTGCTAAGCTGGTTTTTATGTCTGCATGGCAGATAATAAGTACCTATGTATTGTGCAGTGTGAAGTTCCTCTGGTTTTCATTCTCTGATTTACTAGTCTGTAAGTACCACATTTGTCTCTGTCGTTAGCAGATTAACTGCACTTTGCAGTATTATTTTTGCTTACTCACCTTAACATTTGTTTTTAAAGCAGAAGAGATTGTTTTACCTTTCTTTGCTTTCTTCTGAAGTTTTAGCGTGTCCGAGGACTTCTTCTTAATTTCATGTCGAGCTCTTTTATACTCTGGTTCAGATGGACAAAGTTTTAAAAAGTTAAACTATGTGTGAGAACATGTGTTAAGGCACAGTTTTTCATGCACTTAGCAATATCTTATAGGACAAAAGACCAAACTAATATAGTACAACAAGCTGAATGTCAGCCTATGTTTAAAGTCATAATTAACTAACACAGTACTGAACAGGGTAGATGAAATAAAACTGGCACTTTACATTGCTTTAAAGTAATTAAGATATGTTTTGATGTGAAGTTTCTGGATATGAGTATTTCTTGTGTTCTTTTATGTACCTTTAGCATGGTCCTTGTCCAAAGTATTTACTCCTCTTTTCCACTCCTCCAGCTGCTCTTGTAGTGGGTTGATCAGGCCCTCCAGGAAGCCCCTGCAAAAACAACAGGTTACTCACTTTTGTTCAGTTAAATCATTTTAAGTACATGTTCAAGACTAACTTGCCACTGTTGGAAATTATTTAAAAATGCTAAATGCATGCTTGGCCTTACAAGCTATTCTGAAATAAGTTTTATTGACCATCTGGATAAACAATTAAATATACACATATCAAAAAGTGATTAAGTAAGTAAAGTAGCCAGGCATTAGGTCTGGTTTGTCCTTCTGAACTGATTGGACTTGTACTTGCTAATTAAGCTTGTAATGATGACTATTATTGCAGCATTATGGTTGCTGTTTTAGAATCATGATTGTCTGTATTGTTTTGTTATAGTATTATGTGTTCTTATTTAGAATGATGATTATTAGGAATTCCCTATTTTAACTTTGCATCTTTTTTCTTTTTACACAGCACTTTTTAACAATTTCTTTAGAAAAGTGTTATAGTAATACATTTTGCTTTGCCTCTGTCTGTACCATGTTTGGTCTTCTCTGTCAATCATTAACAGACAGAAAGAAGGGGAAAAAAACCACATTGACTGTGAGAAATACAAGTCTGCTTATGTCTGACTGCATGTCACAGGAGGAAGTAAAAGCTTTGCATGACTGTCAATCATTATCCAATTGTGCCAGTCTATCTGTGTGTTTAAGAGGCTGCGAGTGTGAATGGTGGGCAGCTGCAGGCTGAATACAGTAAACTAAAATTAGATTTCTCCCTCTTGCAGACATGTTTCCAAAGTGTGTGTGTGTGTGTGTGTGTCACTGGAAGTGGCATCTCCACTGAAATGCTAATCGGAATTAAAGAGTCCCTTGTCTATGTAGTGTGTGTGTGTGTGTGTGTGTGTGTGAGAGAGAGTGAGAGGGGGATGTGTTGTGTGAATTCCCTGGGACATTACAGACGCTTGTGTTGCTGGACAAATCATCTCTTTTTCAGCATTCCATGATAAAGGGTATTCTCGCCCACACACACAAAAGGTCACACAAGGAGGATATGGCGAGATAACCAATCAGTTTCTTGGAGTTGCACTGCTAGAGGAACAGCTTATGTCGATGTACAACAGCAATGATTTACTAATAAAGGAAACACTACAAGGGGAAATAAACTTAGCCAAATCACAGTGCTCTGTAATCCAAATTTTAAAAAAATCATATCTCAAAAACCACATTATAACATACTAAAAATCATAAAACCTTTCCGGTAATATTCCCTTTTCAGATCTGGCAAACCACCATGATGGCACTTACTGACATGTTAACCCCCAATTAAATCACTCCCACCCAGTTGCTTTTTCAACCCATTCAAACATTCACCAACACTAAATAATGGCTAGATCATCAGATCCTGTATGCTGGTAAATCAGAAGTACTGTGGTTGAGGATACTCTAATGTTCCTTACATGGAGAACTGTTTGAGTTTGGCCTCTATGCTGCGATGTCTCATACACATCCTGGTCAACGCTGATCCAATGTCTCTGGTCCCACCTGAAAATATAACAACAACAAAAAAGTGAGAAAGAAAATTACTATTTGCAGTCAAACTTCAGTATCACAATGTATATTTAATATTAGCAGTAGTTAAACTTTAAACATTAAAGTGTTAATGTTTTAACATCAGGAAGAGGGCTAGAGAGAAAGGTCAGAAAGAAAGGCTTAAGGTGCAATTTCACTATATGACCATGACTGTAACAAACATTTTTCAGGTTTTACCCAAGTGACACTGATGTCCATGAAAGTGAAAACAAAGAGAAATCCAACTGGGTCACACTTGCTGTATCAACAGGTCTGATTTAGGTACTAATTGCACATTGTTCAATCAAAAAGTGACATTCGCAAAACACAGTTTGCTGCAATTTGAGTTAAATGATCATTACTTTAGGACTGCAGCTGCAAAATTTCTCAGAACCTCTCATTACAAGGGTAAATGGAAAACATCCACAGAGCTAAATGAAGACTGCAGGCTTTAAAAAATTATTTCCTATATGAAAACATGCAACTACACTCATAAGACAAGAATTCATAATTCATTGTACCTCCTGTAGGCTGCTGTATATTTAGTGTAAAATCTGAATGAAAACAGGCATTTCAGCCTGTACTGAAGAATGGCATATTATAAACATCTCATGCTGTAAATAATTAACATAATACTGAACAAACATTTCTCTGTAGATTTTCTAAAAGAAACATCCTTAAGAAGGAACCACTGATGCAGTTCTCTCCATTGTAGCTGAAAACTCTGGGACTCAAACAAACAGCACACATATTCAGGTCAAGAGAAGTGATGGGAAGTTGGAGCTGGAGTCTTGGCTAGTGGTTAGTGTCAGTTTCTTTCACACAGGCTAACTACAGTAGCTGTCCACTGGAGGGCTGCAGCCTGGACTTGACACTGATTGACAGAAGTACTTTCTGGCTTTGGTATGACTTTCTCTGTGGGACGTAAGCTACTGTGTGTGTGTGTGTGTGTTTACTGGCACTATTTGCAATTTCTGGATAAATTGGTCATGAAATGTGATCTGATCTTCACCAAAGTTAGAAATATCAACAAACACTATATTTCTAAGCTAATAAAACACAATCATGATCTTTCATGTCTTTATTGAACACACCCATTAATACTTCTAGTGATGGTGGAAAAAGAAACAGCAACACCAGGGTTATGATGTCACTAAACATCAACTGGAGTCAGGTGTTAGCAAACCTGGAGTCCAATCAATGAAACAAGAGCAGAGGAGTGGTTTAAAACTACCGGTTTAAAACTTGACTTATAAAAGCACTCGAACATTGTCAGTGTGCTATTCACAAGCAGCATCAGCTGATGTGAGCCATGCCTCACAAAAAGAAATCTCAGAAGACCTATGATCAGGAGTTGTTGATTTGCATGTAGCTGGAAGGGGTCACAGTCATCTCACAGACTTCAGATATTCAGTCCATAGTTAGACATCGTCTATATATGGAGACAACTTGGTTCTGTGTCCACTCTCCATAGAAGTGGGCACCCCGCCAAGATCACTCCAAAGGCACAATGCAGAATGCTCAGTGAGGTAAAAAAAGAACCCTAGAGTAACAGTTAAAGACTTGAAGGACCCACTGAGGTTGGTTAACAGGCATGGTATCCATGGCAGTTCACCACAAAGGAAGCCATTCCTCTCTAAAAACAACACTGCAGCATGCCTGAAGTTTGCCAAAGACCACCTCGACATTCCACAACACTACTGGGAAAGTGTTCAGTGGACAGATGAAACAAAGGTAGAATAGTCTGGGAAGAATACACAACACTACGTACGGTGTAAAAAGAGCAAGAAAACATCATTCCAACAGTAAAGTACGGTGGAGACAGCATCATGATGTGGGGCTGCTTTGCTGCCTCTGGTCCTGGACTGCTTGCCACTGCGGAGGGAAATATTAATTCCCAAGTTTATGAAGGTATCCTACAGGATCATGTCAGGGTGGCTGTCTGCAAGCTGAAGTTCAGAACAAGCTGGGTGATGCAGCAGGACAAAGACCCTAAACTTTGAAGCAAATCTACTACAGAATGGCTTTAGAGACAAAATCCACCTTTTTGAGTGGCCCAGACCTCAACCTAATAGGGATGCTGTGGAATGACCTCAAGAGTTATTCACACCAGACGTCCAAAGAATATGGCTGAGCTGAGGCAGTCCTGTGAGGAAGAACGGTCCAGAATTCCTCCTGAACGTTGTGCAGGTCTAATCCACAGCTACAGGAAGTACTTGTTTGAGGTTATTGCTGCCAAAAGTGGTTGAACCAGTTAATAAAACAATGTTGTCTTTACTTTTTCCACCATCACTATGAATGTTCAATGGGTGTGTTAAATAAAGAAATGAAAGATCATGACTGTTTTATTTCATGACCAATGTATGAAAAAAAAACCCCAAAAAACAGGAAACTGTAAACAGTGCGACTATATGTCTCCATGCGTTGTTGTGTACATGAGACAGTGAGAACAGAGAAATCTTGTATGAAACTGTATGCAGTTCTTGTGACATTCTGTTCAGTGTAAAAGAGTGTTCATGGGTTTTGTGTGTGTGTGTGTGTGTGTGTGTGTGTGTGTGTGATGATCTGATGTGAAGTGTGAATGCCCTCCAACAGAGTGAGCCATTCTGCTGTCAACACAGTCCTTGCTGCATGCAGAGAAGCACAGAGCTGTCACTCAGTCACACCCACTCACATTCATAATCACAGCACACATAGAAAACTGTCTTTTACTATTAGAGGTAAGACAAAACACATGTACAGCAGGAGGCTGCTGATTTTACCTACAACAAAAAAATTCTTTAAGCAGGAAATCCTTAAAGAACGGGAGGAATTGGTACAATATTGAATAGCAAACAAAATTATGGTAGTAGGAACATATTAAAAACAACACATTTGCAAGAATGCATACACCATGCTGCATACAAGATGTTTTTGGCACTACCCTGTGTGAAATGTGTGTCTGGGCATGAGCTTTTCTAAAAGACCAGTGTTAGCCACTATGTTTTTCACAGCTCAGTGAAAGGGAGAAGGCACTACAGAGACAAAAGTCATTTTTACAATGAGATTCCACACTACTGCCATTCCAAAGAGTTGCCAATATCCTGCCCTTGTGCTGTTCATAGAGGTCAAGGTAATCGTGGCATAATCGGGAGCCAGCCTGTGAATTCAGACAGCAGGCCAGCATTCCACACCAAAGGTGCAATGCAGCATTGCTCTGCATCAATTGTAACGTAAATTTTGTGCCATTAATCTACAAGCCAAAACAAAAACATGGGAGATACAGTATGTGTTGATGTAGCTTTGTGGGTTCTTCAAGCATTTATTTCACTTCACGCAAAACTGGTTAGTATGTTTCTTATGTGTGTGAATTTCATGAGTAATAACTGCAATCAATGTGTTCGTGACATCAGGAATGCTTTGACCTGTAAGATAGAGAAAGCCAAGAACAGATCGAGGCGGAGAGACATGTAGACTTGAGACACCGGTGATAGCGTCACGCACATATGATGCCATCAAACATAGCACTTGGTTCCAGACTGCCTGCTCCCCCTTTCTACAGAGAGCAGGTCTTCTCTTTGTTTCCCCTCTGGTGGCAGAAAATTTAACTATTGTTAGATATTTTTAGTCAGATAGATATTGGATAGATACTTTATGTATTAGAAATGTTTAGTGGAGACAGGATGTCTAGTTAGACTGTTAAATGCTTAGTCATGCTTATGAGTTTCTACAGGGTACATCTGGTCAAGGATAACTAGAGAGAAGAGTTGATGACTGTCAGCAGACAGGGTGTTTAATATTATTATTATGACGTGTATAACTGTAGCCTTAGCCATAATATGTTCTTATGTTTAAGTCACGACATGTACTAGAGGTCGTGAGAATGTTTTTAGCTACACACCA